GGTACCCGGGAGGAAAGGGCCGGGGAGCCGCGGGGGCGGCCGGGGCGGGCTCTGGCGCCCCGTCTCTGCTCCCACTGCCCCGGGACGAGCTGCTGAGGTGTCCCTGGTTCTCAACCTCGCAGGTATTTAACACCTTTTCCCCTTTTTTGTCCGGCGGAGCTGGAGCTGGCCCAGGGGTGCGGTGTCTCCGATGGGACCACCAGGCACCGGGCATCGCACCGGCCTCCTTTCCCCAGGAAAAGGGGCAAGAAGCAGCCCCAACAATCATTGGAGTTACACTTTGCTGTAACTTCTGTCTGCCCCTGGCCTGTCCCATGCCATTTTAGAGGAAAAAAAAAAAAAAACACAACACAAAAAATCATTACTTTTACCTCGAATGCTTCTGGGGTTAATGTTCTGGTAATTCTAACCTGTAAACAGAGGATGGAAAACTTCATATTGTGATCTGGATATGGGGGTACTGGAACTGAGCAGGAGTGGGGGGTCTGGAGGCACATGTCAGGGGGTGGCTGGTGCTGGCAGCTCTGCAGTACCCCCAGCCGTGCACACAGACCCAAGTGGGGCAGCCTGGGACCAGGCCAGGGTGCAGTTCCGCACAGCAGCCCCCCTGCTTTGACCTTCAGCCTCTGAGTTTTGGGGCAAGTTGAATGTGTCTTTCTGGGCTCAGTTTTCTTAACTACAAATCTGGTGTGGCTTTAGCCTTTCAGGGCTGCTTTAGGCCTAGTTTTATTTTAAGTGTTTTGAGGTCCTCAGGCTGCTTTTAACAGCAGAGTGCATTTCTTTCCTTTGAAAGAAAAAAAAGCATACCATAGAAGCTAAAAATAGGAGATAATGGTTTTAATCTAACCACAAGTTTGTGTATTGCATAGAAAAGGCTTTCAACAGGACGTAAGGATGAAGCGGTTCATGGCCATGTTAAACAGGAATAAAAACAAGGATCCCCCACCCACCAAGCTGCTGGATCTAGCAGGACAGCTTTGCCGGAACCTCCCGAGTTCATCTCCTACTCTGGAGAAGCTGGTCGGGGCCGTGATGGGATGCAAACACAAGATGTATTTTCTCACTAACATCCACATTGTCAAAGCTTGCGTGTTTGTTCATATCCGTAACGGGCAGCATGACACAGCCTGCAGACTCGTAGAGGTAGGGATGCGTTCTTTGTTTCTTCATGGAGACAAAAAGCAGTATTAGAAAAATAGTAGCTAGAGCTGCCAGTGCAGAGGTACCCAAACTGCAGCATGTGGAGCATTTCCAGCTGGCCTACAGCAGTGGAAGGTGTTATGTGTGCATTCATTGACCTGAAAGGCAGAATAAAGCCTTTGCTACAAGCAGTTACTATTAATCAGCCAAGGGAAAGAAGGTAATTGGGTGATTATGGGGTTGGTTGTAGTTTGTGAAAGCAGGATTTTTGTCTTCTAGGGTGGTGGTTCTTGGAGTTTTTCACAAAATTAGGGCTCAGGATGTAAAAGCCTTGGGGAGGCCAAGTTTAAAGGGCTTGCCAGGATGGGAAGATATGAGGAGGCTGGATGGCACCATGCAAGGGGAGGGATTTTGGCCTTTAGATCTGGTAATGTAGCCCTTTTCACCAGGGGAAAAGAAGAAATTAGGCAGGCAACTCCCTGTTAGAGAAGGTACAGCAAGCCTTATACTTGGATAATGCTACCAGCTTTGTCAAACTAGTATGAATCTCTGAATAAGTTTCTAGTTGTTGAGGGCTTTCTCAGTTATAGGAAGCCTGGCTGAAAAAGGAAAAGGTTTGCTTGAAAAGGAAAGGGTTTGCTAACACACTGTTTTGTTTTAGTGTTGCAAGGCAGAAGAGAAGGAGGAGCTGGTGCAACTTTGGCATGAGATTCACTACCGGAAGGTTATGGAGAAACACCGCATGGATTTTCTGACACCACTGCAGAAATTCCGTTGCAGGAAGAGGTACTGCAGCGTGGGGGAACAGAGAGGGTTTTTTTCTCTGCTGTAGTTAGCAGATGCAGGGGGTAGAGATGCATGGGCTGTTTTTGCAGCTCAAGATGGCTGCTTCTTGGAGCCAGGCTTTTCTTGGCGTTTTGACCACTAGTGATAATGTGAGAAAATTCCCATGAATGTGAATGATTCTTTTTGGGTCTCTTTACATCCTGTTTTCTGCTGTCTACAGGAATCCTCCACCTATTTCCCTTTGTCCTGAAGGTTTGAAGAATCGAAACTATTCAGATGAAGTACGCCAGCAACTGCACAGGTTTGCTGCAGAGGTGACAAGAAGTCCAAACAAGAAACAGCGGGTAGGGATATGCTCTTATAATCAGGTGTCCTTGTCACAGGAAAGCAGAACTGTGCGATCAGAGATCTGTAACTGGTTTCATTCTAAATCCTTGTTTTCAGAAGCCCCCTTGGGGCTGAGATTCCCCATACTTGATCTTTCCCTAAAGGTTTTCTTAAAAAATGATCATGATCATGCTAAGTAATTTCACTTGATTTGGACAAAAAGATCTGGGGAAGTAAGTTCTTCAGTGGGCTTTTAACAGTTCTAATGTTGTAGTGATTGAGCATGGGCAGCGAAACAACCCTCAGTCAGAAGAGCTGTATTACAGTGATAAATAGTTCTGACTTGACTGAGTTACAGCCAGTATAAAATTGCACTTTGCTTACCAGAATATATTTTGTACTGACTTATGTTAAATTCACAGAATTTGAAAACACGATAGGCTGTGCTGATGTATACATGTACCTACCCTATTTGGACAGGGACAAATTAGTAATGAAAGTGTTGTGAATTAATTCAGTAATCACTGTGGATTATTACCTTGCCAAGTGAAGGCTTCAGACTTTAAAGTCTGCCTCTGTGGTCAGTTTTTTTCAACACCCTTCTCATATGAGGCAGGATGGTCTGGTGAATCGTTCTGCAATGTGAAGATGGTTCATTTCTTACCCTTTTCGCAAAGCAGCAACCATTTCCAAATTTTCATTTTTAAAAAAACAATCTGAATTGGGAGCATAATGAAGTTGCACAACGAAGTCCCAAAACATCAGGATACAATGATCCCTTATGCATTAATTTCCCAATACGTTCTTCACTTATGTGATCTCATTAACAGCTGAGTACAGCAAAAAAAATTCCTGTGAACGTGATACAGATGTTCATTCTGCTCAGAGTTTGTGAAAGCTGTTTAACCTGGTAAATGCTTTAGTGTTTATCCTATGGATGTCGTGTTAGTGATGTGAAGATGTCATTCTGTGGGAAAAGCGTCCTTTGGTGAGGTTTTACGTTTAAATATAGCAATATAAAATAGCAGTATATGGTTTCCTTTAGCAAACAAATAGGGGGAGCAGGGTGGAATGTCTGTTTTCCAGCAACTCTTCAGTTTATAAAGTGGCCTCCTCAATAGGATCCATGTAGACTATCAGGGACCTAGTGAACAAATGTCTCTGAACTTGAAAGCTGTTTTGCTGGGCTGCTTTTGGAACTAAGGGGAGAAAGCTTGAATATTTGGATGTGATTTATTATTTTTCCCTTGATCTTAAAAAAGTTTGCAGGAGGAATTGGCTCAGGACCTGAACTTGCAGCCAACTCAGATCTATAATTGGTTTGCAAATTATCGACGACGTCAAAAATCCTGCCTCCCTTGTATGGAAAAGCTCAACAAATCATGTCCTGAGAGGGCTTTGATTTACCACACGAAGGAGCAGCAGGATAAAGGATCGTACGCTCCACCAACTGCAGGTTTGTCTCTTCCTAATGGGCTTAGGATGTGGTCCAGAAAGCTGAAAAAGAATTTAAAATTCCCTCAGGAACGGAGGGATATTCCTTCTTCAGAACAGCATCTATATGCTGATGGATCAAGTGGGCATTGGAGGACTCTACTTCAGTGGAGTGCCTCTTCATTTGGCTGTCCAGCCTTGTATTAGAGGCTGTCACTCTGTAAAAGGAGCAAGCATTGATGAGGCCTGTGCAAGGACAGGTGAAAAGAGATGCTCGTCTTGAAAGGGGCACCAGATGAAAACAAGTAGGTGGGAGGCAGCAAGTTTTAGCTCTCGGATTCTGAGATCAGGCAGTACTCCTCTAAAACCCAGTGTTGTCATGCTGCTTCATAGAATCTTAACCAAACTTCAGTCATGGGGAAGAAGAGGGTCTTGCTGCATTTGGGAAATTAGACTGTTTTATTGCTTTTTAAAGTAACTGTTAGCATTCCTTCACCTGCCTGGCCTGTGCCTTTCAGATGGATCTTGTGTGGGCACCAGCTCTGAGCAAATGGAGATAACCCTCATGCCCTGTGACCCAGGGTGGGAGCAGTCAGCTGCAGATCTGGATGAGCCTCCTGAAGGAACTTACTTAAATATGCTGGAATCCAGGTGATTTATGAAAAAGTCTTTATAGTGATAATTCAGAGATGAAGCAGCATTTAAACTTGTTCATGGAACTGACTTTCCTGTCTGTTCCCAGGGGATGTCCCTTAGGAGTTGTGACTCTGTAGATGGGAGCGGTCCATGCCCAGTAGCAGGCAGACAGAGCATGAAGCAGTTCACCTCCCAGCTGTCAGGGGCAGGATTCAAAGGTTTAGCTGGGGGGTCCCCTCTCTTTGCAAACCAATATGTCTGGCTGATTTATTTTCCCCATAATTACAGCTTTTTGCAGAGTGGTGAGCTGCACGAAGTGAGGACAAGCAAGGCTTTGTTGACTGGTTACAACGCTGAACAACCCATAGCTTTTTGCACTGAGGCTATGCTGGAACCAGGAACCAGCTTTAACTCCACTGTCCTGCAGCCCAGAGAAGTAGCAAGCAATAGTGATGACAGCCCCCAGCTGAATAACTTTGTCCTGTGCTCTTGCGGGTCCCTTACCTTCCCAGATGAACAACTGGCCGTGTGGCAGGCCCCTTCTAGCACCAGAGTCATCTCTGGCTCCATGTGGACCCCAAGTATAGAAGGTTAGTAAAACTGCCCCCAGATCATTGACCTGAAGAGTTTCCAAGCTTCTCTTCCCTTTGTTGCAAACACTCTTGCTCACTTACATGGCTTTCTGGTGTCATGACAAATGGGAGCAGGGCTGATCTTGTGCTCTGGAGTTTTGCTCCCATAGTAAGCTTAATGAGAAAACCTATTGATTTAAGGTGTTGAAGCAGACATTCTTACCTACTCTGTTGCTTAAACTGTAACTTCTTCCATAAGATAGTACTTTTCCAACAAGGTTTTAGCTTTTAGCTAAAGTCCTTTTTGCTTTTCCACTGGAAGAGTCCCTTCAGGTGTTGTCTGCTCACCTTGCCAGTTTCCAAGCTTCTGGGTTTTTAAATATCTGTCATTCTTAAGAGAGTGCCTGAGCAGAGTCTGGGAACTTCTTAACTGTGACACAGTTCTCGCTTTCCTTTCTTCTTCCTGCTATTCTTTCTTTCTCTTCCTTTCTGTTTCTTTCCTGTCCAGTTTTGTTCAGCATTCCCACCATCTCTTTTCTTCTCTCTATACTTCAGAATAGCCTTGATAGGCTATGTAAGTGATGGCCACCTGCTTTTGCTGTAGATCTACAGGAGAGAAAGTGCTGTGATTGCCATTCACCCAGCCTCTGGTGAATGTGGAGCAAGGCGGGGAAGAGTATAGCTAGGTCAGAGGTTGGGGTCATGTTGTCTGTAATCGTCTTTAATGCAAGCATTTATTTCAGCAGGTATCAGAGCTCCCTTAAGCAGAATCCCTCAAGGTGGCTTTGTTGAGGCCAGTTCAGGAAGAATCATTCAGCAGTCAGATTTAGAGGTTGAAAGCTTCATCCTTAGAGAAGGACAGCTAGGGACCCTGGAGTCTGACCTTCCCCACAGGTAAAGGGAGCGGAAAGCACAGGGCTTCTGAAAGGCAGGAGTAACAGTGATGCTGTGGGTCTAGGCTTGTCCTGATCCCCTTGTTGAAGAGGGTTGCAGGAAGAATGTGGTGATGCATCTTGTTCCAGGGCCAGACTATCTCCTTGTGTCCATCATATTCTGCAGATATTTATATCTGTGCATGGGAAATGCTGTATAAATGTTTGTGTTTTGTAGCATAGCATAAAGGAGATCCAGGACCAGCCTCATCAGGTTTAGCTCCTAAGCTATTTGCCTGTTTTCCTTTTTGGCAGAAAATCGTAACCTATACTGATCCAGTGAGAGTTGATTCTGTGGGCTGGGTTGGTAGGGCCCATACTTCATCTTAAAATGGTTTTTGTAGCTTCATAACCTCATGACAAGATTATTCCATAATGTAAGCTTTCCAAATTGGAAGACAGACAGGCACTGTTCTGTCTTTGTTTTCCACCTGTAACAAATGTTTCAGACTGCTACTTTCTCTGGGACTTGGGATAAATTCATAGAATTCAAAACAACAGAAATCCGTGCCATCTTCCATATGTTATACAACTTCCATGTTACATAAAAATAAACACTGCCAAACAGATATTTAAATGTTCCTTCAGTTTAGTGAACTGTAAGACAGAGCAGGAGCCATAGCCCCATTTCATAACCCTACTCTGCTTGACACTGCCCAGCATTTGTGCTAGCTTGACACTCTCAATATTGTGTCAAAGAGGTAGGTAGAAGCAGTTTTATTTCCACCTCACAGATGGGGAAGCAGAGGCACAGAGAGGCTTTGTGGCTTGTCAAGCAACAAAGGCAGGCAGTGATTCACTGGAGATAAAGATCAGTGGTTTTTTGCCTCCCAGTTCCTTGCTAAAATGTTTCTGCCTCTTAACCCTGTTTCCCAGCTGGCTTGGTGCCTACAGTTTGCATTCACATCAGACTCTTCACTATGAAGTGCTGAGGAGAACTCAGGTTGGGGCATTGTAAACCCACCTCAGTCTGTGTCTTAGGATGTGTATTTTTAAACAGTGGCTAAAGATCATGAAAGATCAGTGAGACTTGCTGGCAATATTTTGGCTGGATTCAAAAATTGCATGTTCTGACTCTACAGTGAGCTCATGTTTATTTTTAAAGTATGTTCCACCAGTAGAAGAAATCTATGGTGAATGTCTCCTTGTTGGGTATGTCAGTTGTGCCAGGAATTCACACACTCTATCGTATTCCTGGCAGGGGCAGGACTTGCTGCTTTGTTGACACCTTCTGGTGAGGATATAGTTTTTTGAACTCTATTTGTAAACCCTGTTCAGTGGCCTGGTCCAGCTCCCCAAAAGCTTAAACTCCCCCAAATACCAGGAATGCTGTGGAACATGTATTTCTTTAGAAATGAGTGGTGCTTAGGCTGCAATTTCATCTAGGCCCTTCTGCAATTTGTCTCTAGAGCACCAGGAGACCTCCTGTGGGTGGTCTTGGGTGAGATGACTGCTCAGTGAATGGCAGTGAATGAGGATCAACTTTGTTATCTGGCAGAGCCCTCTAACAGAGTTAATGGATTAGAGAGGAGTCACCAGAGTCATCTTCAGCAATAATGCTGCAATGAGCATCACTCATCTGGGAACTCAGGAAGGAGTCAACAGCTTAAACTGTAAGGCAAATGAGCGTTGCTATCCTGGAAAGACAGGGCAGTGAAGTTATCCCTGCTTTACCGATAAGTGTAAAGTACAGAGGTGGAAATTATTTAGCCAAGGTCACCCACCTGGAGTGGACTTAATGTCACACTCTTACTTCCTTGCCAGCAGCTGTGGCTCCCTGCTTCCTAAGTGCAGGCGTAGAACTACAAGTCAGCCAAAGGGCCCTTAATCTGCTTGTCTCATTTTTAAAGGTGCTCACCTGGAAAGGACTTGACCTGAAAGCTTTTTAGAACAATTCCTGTTGATTTCTTTCATGGGCTTTTTACAGTTGGTCCTACGCATTTGGGCTGTATCCAAACCTCTTATGATCTACAGGGCTGTGAGGTGGGAGTGTGAGGGGGAACCAGGCTGGAAGCTGACGGTCTCCATCTGCTCCTGCTGCCTGGCAGGAGAGTTTGATCCAGCTAGCGAGCTGGAAGTCCCCGTGGGACACAGAACAGATGCTCGCCTTTACAGATAGAGGTGGTGTATCCTCTTCGCTCCTCAAGTCAGGACAGGTGGAATGTAGCCCAGCTAATGGTTCATGTAGAATATAACTCCCTTGTGCCTCCCATTTCAGATAGGAAAGCACACTGAACTCTGTGGAGCAAGACAGACTGCATTTATGACCTATCATATTGATTTAGAAGACATCAGTGCTGAAATGTTTGTTGCAGCTTACTGCTTCTGCCTGCGTTTTTGGTATTCCAGCTCACAGTGTTAGGAATCCTCTGGATAACCCAGCACCCCGACACTGGCAGGCGGCAGGTTCAAAACGCACAAAAAGAGGCTACTTTCTGGCATGTTGCATAATTAAATCACAGAATTTGTTGCTAAGGGTATTGTGCCTGTCAGTGTAAGTGGGCTATGGAAAAGGATGAGGCAAATTCTTGGGGCAGGGGTGCAGAGGCTTGAGCCCACTTGCTGTTAGTACATGCAATTGCCCGAATGCAGTCTCCAGCAGAGGAGTGCCACAACCGATTGCTGGAGCCTGGGGGCATCCCAAGGAGGGACAACTCCACACTTGTCCTATTTCTTCTACTGTTGTCCTATGTTCTATTTGTTGGCGCCTTTGGTCTGGGCCTGTATGGGCGTTCAGACCCTGGGCTATTCCTGGGAGCAGCATGGGTGGTGGTAGTGGAGCATAGATACTTTTGAGTTGGTAATGAAGGCAGACAGCATCCCATCATCAAGTACTCGGTGTCTCCTACTTGACCCAGTGGCCGCAGCCTGTGATCTCTTATGGGAGGTTGGCAGAACCCCCAGAGGAGGTGGGGATGGTGAAGCCATGTCCCCAGACTCTCAACTGGTGGCCTTGAAGAGCTATGGTAGAACCGTAGCCAATGTTATGGCTGTGTCTAAAGCCACATGTTTATCTGTTTTGACTCTTAAGATCTGTGTTTATAAAATATGTTCCAAGAGAGAGGCATTTTGGTAGACATATCCTTGTTTATGGAGAGTGTTCTGGGGTCATAGGAAAAGTTGCAAATTGAGATGTCGTTCCTGTATACTGCTCCAGGTCAGGCTAGCCCTCCCAGTGCAGAATCGGTATTTTCAGGCCCTAACAGACTGGAGAAATGGGGCAGGATTTTAGACAACTATGTTGAAACAATATTCTTGCCAGCAGATCCTCTTGTCCTGCTGCAAAACACTACCCTAAGTGCAGAGCATAAATACAAATGCATTTGTACATCATATTTTCTTCCAGTTCCTGTCAGGCTGTGTTTGACAAGCCTCAGTGCCCACCTGTTCCTGTACCCTGCATGGAAGAAAGCCAAGCCTTGGGACAAAGCCAGGTAAGAGAACACACCTAATGTTCAGAGAAAGGAGCTTAGCCCTGTACCCACTATCCAGCTGTAGCACTCACATGAGAGATGTGAAATCTCACATCGTATTTAGTATGAAACATGTTTGATCTAAGCATACCTTTTGTAATCCAATTCAGAGCAACCTGGGCATTCCCTGTGTGGCATCCAGCAAATGCTAGGAGAGCTGTTTTTGTTGGGTTTTTTTTCCCACTTGGATTGCTTATCAGACCCTAATTTTACTAAATGTGTGATTGAAATGATAGCAAAGCCACCTGTGCAGATCTGAAGTGTCATTTAAATTCTGAGCAAGGGAGGGCTCACCTAGTACAGTGGAAAGAAGATGACAGGAAGATGGCTGCTTGAGGGCCCTCCGCTCTGAGGGGTTCTGCAGAATTCAACTCTGCTCTCTCAGACCTCTTAAACTCTTTCATGTAATTTTCATTTCCACATTTGTGTTAAAAGAAAGAGATTTTGCACTGTTCTGAGATGGCTGATAGCAGTGCACAGAGCAGTATTACAAGACGTGATAAAAGAAGTTACTTCCATGATCTGGATGTAGTCTGCATGACTTCTCATGGTGATTTTAGGGCAGTAGAGAATCGAAGTTAGAAATCTGGTGCTTTCAAGGGGATAGGAGCAC